AGTACGTTTATCAGCCATTGACTTGATTTCGATCAATACTTCGAGACGTATTTCAAGTACATTGAGACGAGATGTCCGAGCTTAAGAGACATCGATGATCCCAGAAGACGAGAGGAAAACTTCGTTGCACTCAGTTACGCAAGAATCACGTTAAATCGAGTGCACCGTTCCGTCGACGTCGCGACAACTTAATCGGCAATGAGTACGCAATCGACTTCTTATGGCCAACAAGGGGAGAATCGCGGTGAAAATTCCTGGTGGCTGAAATATGCTCTCTTCCATCCCAATACCCTGATAAATGGTGCTCGATATAGCGCGTAATCTATTTTTTAAATGACGTAATTCTCGACGAATAAAGCTGCCTTTTGAGACAATAAATTTATAAATAGTTTTAGAAAATAATATTTTATATAATAATCAAGCAATAAATATATGTATATATTATGACAAATTAATTCTTAAAACTTATAATTAAATGTATAAATAGTTATGCATTTTAACAGAAAAGTGATTAAAACCATATCAATTAAATTAAATTCCATGTTAAATCTAATATTGAATTTTTTTAATTACTAATTTATAAAATTTTTTGCGATATTTGATACTTTCAATTGCTAATTTTATAGCGAAATATAATATTTAAAAATAATTAATCAAAGGAAGTAATTTTTCATTAAATTTACTATTATTTTCTAAAAAAAATTGTCATATTATTGTAAATTTTCTGTTCGTTTGTTAGACACGTAAAAATAGAAAATTATTGAATATTGACGACAAGAATTGATTTCTATATTGTCCGCAACTTATTTTTCCTTTGCATTAGGGCTATTTATAGCTTCGACGTTCCTTTTTTGATCCTTTTCTTTGGCATCCTCTAAGCTCTTAATCTCTTTTCACACAAGATAGTTCCTCCCAGGCGCAGGTATTTGTTAATGCCATCGATTGGCATGCGGGCCACGTTTCCTGTAACACGTGACTGCAATACCGGTCTTCCCATAGTACAAAGTCTTTTTTTTCTATTCACCCGTTACGGACATACTGCGATTAAAATTATTTTAAGGCCATCCGCCTCGCTCGACGAATCCGGTAATAGATTTCTACGGCGGTGTCAGGTCGTCGAAGAGAAAATTCTCCACGTTGCGAAGAACGAGAACTCTTCAATGCGGCACTGGAGATGATCAGTTATTTCTGCTCTCGATTGGAGGATCGATCGCAAAGCGAATGGAAATTTATGCCGTACTTGATTGAAAGGACTTGAAATTAAGATAAGAATACGGTATGCTTATAGCGGAGTGACATAATATATTTTCAGATCGTCCGCAGAACTTTATTATAATGCATAACAGCGTAGCTATTTTCTTTGTAGACATAAATTTTTCCGCGATAGGCATCCTCTCTCTTTCTCTTTCTCTGAACAAAGCAAAAATAACTGGAATATTCCGAGAAGGAGTCACCAAGCACAAAAAGAAGCAAGATTTCAATTACGTTGTCAGCTTCCTCACAATCGGAAGTGCACGGGGAATGAATTATTAGAAACGATAAAATTATGTCACGCAATTACACGGCGGCAGAAACATCTTTGTGATAAATAATGAATTCTCGGATGTACGCCGTTTAAAAATTCAATAATCCACGACTTTGTTATCGGCATAACAGTATCCCGCTAATTATTTCTTAAAAGCTGACCTGAAAGTTCCGTAATTCCGAAGGGGAAGAAAGTTTCCGTCTCGAAGTGAAACTCTAATATTTATCCCAATTTAGTTCCGGGGTCGTTTCGAGAAAGAGAGCTCGGAGCATCGAATCCTTGCGTATTGTACGCTCTCCTTTCAAGGCTCCTCCCGAAATCGACTTACGGAATCCAATTGGCCGAGAAGGAATAGTTCTTGCCAGGTTTAACACAATAGCTGAAATGCCCGCTGGCGCTTTTCCGCGCACGTCGATGCGGCGTCATAAATCAAATTCGCGATGGTATATTAAGGTGTGAAAGTGCGATGGTGGAATCGGCTACCGTCAGATAAAATCAGTCGGGAAGCGATTAATCCTCGGTCTCGTTTGTAATCGCTAAGAAATCGATTCGACGCGCTACACTCTTCCACCCTTCGTCGAACGACTTTTATGTGTTTCGCTTATCGATTCGGTCTACTATGAAAGGGGATCTATTGACTCTCGCCTTTAATTAAGACGCTAACTCGACACGAACACATTCGCAGCGGCAAAATTATGAAACATAACTCCGGTTTAATATTTCGTATGCGAGAGCACTGTAACTTTCAACGCGGCAAATTAGCATGATGAATTCTGCAGTCGCGTAAAACGCGGAGATGGAAAGTTTAATTCGAAATCTCCAGTATAACGATTACAGCCCCTTCACACCAATTCATTAAACGTTTTGTCGTTCGTTTTACTTCCGTTTATTCTACTTCCGCCTTCGCGCTAATGATAAATTCGATACGATCGCTCTCATCGTCACGGTATTACAACTATTTTAACTTTTATTGTTAAATGTGTAACTTGAGTTCGGTTATTCTGCTAACTAATGGAATACCATCTCAACGGGAGATTGCAGAATATCGTCTTATTATCGTTATACAACTCTTCTGGGACGTCTCGTGTATGTTCTTGTTAATATATCGATACCACCTTGGGACTACAACAGTCAGTGCCATTCTGCGGTTCGAAGATATACGGACGAGTGTCCTATATCCTGAGCACATATGACGTTTTCCTTCTCTTCCAATTCCAAGTCGTTGTAACGACGTTTCTTGTTTCTTGCTCCCGAGATTGCGCTGATATTCCGCTGCTGTCACACGACCGATTGCGCCGGTCGATTTATCGGCGATAAAGTCAATGAAGTTATCGACTACGGCGATCGAGAGCACGCGTCGTGGTCATTTCGTCGAAAGTCGCTCGGCTGCTGGAGGCACGCGCGGCCGTATGAATAATATCGCGTTATGAATTTATTCTTCCTATCGCAGCGGCACACGCGCTGAATTGCATATTGAGTCGCGTATCTTACGCGCAGCAACTGTCATAAGGAAAAATAATATTTTGCAATTCCAGTGTAACTTTGGCGAATCGTAAATCCGGCGCGGCTGTCCGTTTGTAAAAATTGAAAACGCGAGCGCGTAAATTAGAAGTGATGCAATAGCGACATCGGGAACGTTAGTTCGGAAATAATTCAACGATTCGTCGTCTCGATAATAACCCGTCCGTTCGCGCACCTGCTTCCGGTGTACATCTCGCGGTTAAGCCGTGAATATTTCATTCCAGTCAGAATTATCCCAACTTGACGCGGACGTAATTTTCTCGAGCGTACGAATTACGCCGGACTTGTGTCGAAAAATCGATAGTTCGGAATATACATATGTCGTTCGTGTTAATGCGGACTGGCGTGAGTGGGAATCGTGATTATTAGCGGGCTGACTGTGGTCTGACTGATTTAGCAATTCCTAAAACTAATTGAGTTTATTTCGGAGAAGGGAAAGCGCGGTTTACGCGGAAAAAGGAATTAGCGTAAATCACCTTTAACTTTGTCAGAGCACAAGTTTGACTTTGATAGAAAATTTAATGAATGATTTATATATTTGCCGAGGGAGATTTATGTATTTGTAGCCTTATTACAATTTCTGCGAAACGTGTGTTTGATCGTTTTTTCCCCCAAAACCAGATAACGGCGCGCGCGTGGGAGAAGATTTATAGACATCTACAACCTGCACTTGTATAAATAAAATCGGCCCTCATTAATCACGTCCCTTGACTGCTGCAAACAGAAATAATCAGAATCGGATAATCTGAGAAAAAGCTCGCTCGTAAAAGCACTGCTCCATCCTTGAGATACACTCGCGTCACGTTCATCCACGAGACGTCCGATTTTTTATTCTTTCGTCGATCATGCGCCATCAATTTGCTCGCATTAGAATTTATCGGTAAATTTCTATACTTTGCGACGTGTAGAAATTTCTTTCACGTGCGTGCTTTTAACAACCCGTAAAACGCGGTTTTATAGGAAAATACAACATCTATCCGCTGCAGATCTTCATCCTGAGAAGAAAGTTTCGTGTTTGATGGTCGGAACACGGTCGCAGGACGAAACGGTGCTATCGATTCTCGTCCGGAGTTTCCGCACGACACGGAATATTGTCGCCGCGCTCGGTAATGCGCCGCCCCGACGAATCCGGCGACTTCATTGATCCGCGCTAGATCGCAGCGGCAAGAAAACTGGCGCGATTCGCGCGCTGCATTAAGCAGCATCCTTTGTCCCCTGCACTTCCGCCGACTGCTCGCCGCTTCTCCGCAGCCAGCGTGCACCTTTTATTTGACTGACTCGTGTTTCACTTTTTGTCCGCTCTAAGTTAGTAGAAGAAAAGAAGACCATCCATTAGTGGCCTTCGAGTGTAAATAATTATTCTGGCGAAGAAATAGAAGAATCGCTGGTCCAATTTTAATCTATTTGCGATTTCTGACGCAAGCTTCTCAAATGGAAAAATCAAATCTAACAGTTCTGGAATTTTTCTACACATTTATTTTCCTATAATTTTATTATAAAATTTTTATTATAAAATTCTACATTTTACTCTTCGCGGAATTATGAAAGTACATGAGTAAACTTATGTAAATATTCTCAGGAATCCACCTTTCTTTTCAAGAGAAAAAAATAACTTACACCTCTGCGCTGCCGATGTGAACTATTCCCGTAAGCTCGTTACACGAACCCACGTAAAGCGCCTACGTATCTCAGCGCTAACACGCCGCAAATGAAAACCAATTGACGTCGGCAAATCACAGAATGTCATGCGCGCCGCGATAACCGCCGCGAAACGAAGTGAATCTATCAACATCTTTCGTTATTTCCGCCGGCGTGATCGGCGCATAAGCTCATGTGTTAATAACGATCGGCGGTTTCCAGACACGCTTTATTCGCGCCCGCGCCTTTGTCCGAGCCTTGATCCCTCTCTACAACACGTAGCCGCCACTGACGTGGAATTAATTCTCTATTTCAGAGGCTGATCGCCGAACTCAACAAGGAACAGGAGGCTTTCATCGCCAGCAAGCAGGCGGGCGAGAAGCTCGAGGCTGTTGCACCGTGGGTCGGCGCGCCGAACGAGGACGCGCTGCGCGAGGAGTGCCTGTCCCTTTCAACCGTAAGTAATCCTTTGTTTTTCTTTTCTTTTTCTGCTGTACACAGGCGCCTGAAAAAAATGCTCGGAGATTTTCATAAAATTTCCCGCGGTAATTATCGACCGCAGCCTCTGCGAGATCACATCGCTGGCGTGAACGTGTCATGGCTGCGGCTGGCATTTTATTCCTCCGAGCGCTGTAAAAGGAAATAGTGTAAAAATAAGACACGTTTCGAAAGCCACAAAGCAATACTCCGACAATTTCGCACTGGTTTCTCTGTTTCGCGTAGGTTTCCCTTTGTGCCTCGAGCTAGGAAAGCTAATTAAATTTGGACGTTTCTGTGAATGCAAACAGTGTACGTGTTCTTTCTTTTTTTAATTCATTTGCAGACAAAGAACGTAAAGCTTTTTTTATTTTATTTTTAAAGTATTATTATTTCGTTATTAAAGTTCGTATATTTTATTAACACACATAATACGCGTTGCAGATTTCCCAAACTTCATATTTGCTACTCTGAATAGGTTTTAATGAAATGGCGCTTTGGCCTAAATCAATACATCGCAAAATATAGTGTCAATATTTATTCTATTCAATCATCGAATATATAAAATTATCCTTATTAAATGTCAGCGTTCAACGCAAACAAAATTGAGCGGATTTCGATAAAATAACATTATTAAATTTTATCGCACAAAAGATTTTTATCGTAAGATAAATTTCCCAAATATGTCGCAAAAATATCGATGTATGATGCGTGCTTATTAAATATCATATAAGAGCAGCGCGTATGTTGAATTTTTTTCCCGTATTTGTTACGTATTTTTGTTTCGTTCACTTTGTCATGGTTTGTGGTAAGCCAAAAATTCGCCGGTCAAACGAAAATATCGCATGCTCTGAAAATTCTATGGTAATTTTTCTCAATGGTTGGTGCTATAAAAGTTTTTAAAGCGTGAAAATTAGTACACATCTAAACTATAAAAAATTGTTAACAGAAAAAAAGTTTAAATAAATAACTAGTTGTACAAAATAAAATGCAAAAATTAAATTAAATTCTTTCGCCAACTAAAAGAACTAAAGTTAAATTAAATTTTTTTTAATAACTTTTAATGATTAATAATTCTTTCGTCGTTTTGCTTTTACAACTTGAAACTGCTCTCGGTAACTAATTAGAGATGAAATCCTTTGCGCCTCGAAGAAGGATCGCTCTCGCCGTTTACTCGTGATATGAGAACAGTTTACTGTTTATTTACGCGTCGTTGCAGAAGATTAGTGTCATGAATTTAGCGTATGGCTTTAGATGAGCCGGCCGGATTAACCGGAAATCCTACCTTCTCATGGATTTCAGGATCGACGTAATTTCGTGAGAGCACCGCCACCAGGCGTAGAGTTCCAGTGGGACTTCGAGGCCATTCAGCCAGTAGCACAGGCCACCCTCGCCCTGGATCCGAACCTCGAGGCCATGAGGTTCGAACTTGTCCCGAAAGTGTAAGTAGATTAAAATATGCCTTGTCATAATGATCTATAATGTCACATTTTCGTTCCATTTACCTAATGCCGTGGAAATTCCGGAAGTATTACGCTCTTTGATTAATTATCGCTATTTTGTGAAATAAAATTTTGTGCCGTGGAAATACGATTATATTAATTAACGTAGATAAAAGTAACGACAGCACAAAGCAAGCAAGCTACTGCGTTGTAACATTGAACGCGCGGTATCTAAAATTAATAATTTCGTAGCATTTTTTTTTTATTGTGAAAACAATCGCGTTCAATGAAACCGCCTTATAATCGCGCAAACGCGTGGCGCGCGGCGCTAAAAGATTAATAGCGCTTACGTTACATTGTTGACATTTAACAAATGGAAGTCCATGTCATGAAAATATGATTTGATGAACTCACTCTCGAATGCTCTCAAAAGGCTCGTTCATTTTTAATTAATTTCATACTCGGTGGAAAACATACAAACGACTAATGAAGTTACGGATATTGTAGCACTTGATAAAAAAATTTGCAAATTTCGTTCGCAAAATTTTATAAAATCTAATAAACGCAAAGTGGACAAAGGTCGAAACGAGTTTAGCGAAAAATTGATAACAAGCCGCCGCGAACAAGTCTATGGAAAATTTATACGCAGTTGCCTCATTATCTCTTGGCTAACATAATTAGTCAGTTTTCACTGCTTTGAAAACAAGCGTGTTTCTCCTCTCTCGAATGCAAGTATCAAGGACCATAAGAACAATTACTGTGCGCAGTTGTCACACAGAAATACGAGCACAAATTGTACCGTCGGCGGTTAATTGGTTCGTGACGTTAATCAAATACCGCCGCGAAATGTGACATTAATTAACGCTTATCCGTCGTCTCCGGATTCTCGAATCCGATTTCTCTATGGTGATCGTCGATTCCGGGAACTCATCCGATTCTGCTTGCGGCAGTATATCCGAGGAGAACTTCTGGCGCAACTACTTCTATCGGGTGTCCTTGCTACGCCAGGGCTACGAGCTGAACGCGATGGTCGATCAGACGGAAAGCAACCCCAATCAAACCCTCGCCAGCACCGACAGCATCGATCACACTCAAGGTAACTTGTCGCCGTTGTTTTCTCCTCTTTCCCTTGTTACGTAGAACAGCTTCCGTAGTACGTCACTTCATTGCGACACGATTAGGTTCTGCAGTTTTGCCCGAGGGCGACGTCGCTCGACGCGCTTTCTGTTCTGTTTAGTACCGATTCCGGTGCACGCAGCTTTCTAGAATTGAAGGGAACGCCTCGCACGCAACATACCGACGAATCAAAGGGTCTGGCCAGGTTTTTTATATTTAATAACAAAATTTCTGATCGACACAGTTTTTATTTTTCGGAAATGTTGGACGCGAAAGACTGAAAGTAGTACTTTAAAAATTTTACGATTTTTAATATCTTGACGTTGATGAAGCTTTAAAGATATTTAATTAGGCAGTAATGATATTGATTCGGAGATTAATTTGACTTAGAACTCCAGAGCGGAATGAATATTATATTGGCCAGACTTCCCAGATTGAAGTGTCATCTCTCGCTGAAGGTCGGAAAATTCCGATCGTCTGCGCGCGGCCGAGGCTTCCCCCTTTGACGTCGCGGCACGACGTCTCGCCGAGACGAACCCCGCCGGGCGGATGATGCAAATTGCAAGATGCAGCTCGCGAGCGGGGATGGAGATCGGTGGCGTCGCGCTGCGTTTACGCCTGATTTGCAATTCCGATTAGCAGCGGTCCCCGACGGTGGACCTTTTGCATGGGAGTTTTTTGAAATGTGTCTTCGTAGTGGCGTGCGTTTTTTCTGTGCAAATGTGTCGGATGCCAGGGACGTATTGGTCGAAGAAGCTCAAAGTTTTAATTTGAAGCTCAAGTGAGCCGTGACGGTTACAACGTCTCGCCGAGCTAAGGGTTGACTTTATAATTAACAGTATTACAATTCAATTACGCAAACAGCTCTTTCTATCAGATAATTTACACAAAAGCTATCGCAGCATGAAATTAATCGTTGACGCGTTGATATTTTGATATTTCAAAATTGTTATTACGCGATGTATTATGATGACGCGGTGTGTCAGCCATTATTTTCTCTAATACTCGTATCCATATTGCTACAATATTAAACATCGCGTTGTTGACAAGCTCCTTTTCTTTCATCAGATGCTAATTGAATCGATTTCGGCCAAAATTCACTTGCAAATCGAGAGAGGAAAGATCTCATTTTGAATGTAATTTTCTGGCGAAAGCAGTTTAGTTAACTGATTGAAAGTATTATCCAAGCGGATGTACCAATACGTTCTGTCGTGGGCTTTTGCACGAGACCGTAGAGTCACGTTTGCAATCGGGATTGCAGCATCAGGGAGAAAGAGAGACAGAGGGAGAGGAGGGGGGGGAGGGGAGGGGAGGGAGCAGGAGTCGTTCGCTTCGCGGCTAACCCCTTGGCCGTGCAAACAATGGAATTGCGATCGGCGCGGATGAATTAACGGATAAAGGGAAATACTCGGTACTTCCGAGTCGGGAAATCGATCACAGGCTGAAATCGCGGGGAAAACGAACGCGTCGAAATCCTTAAAGCCAGAGATTATTTCATGAATAGGAATCTCTAGGGGCTTCTGTTACTTGCTCTCTGATTCTCTCTCTCTCTCCATGTGTCTCTCTCGCATTCCTTAGAGCACTGTCTCCGATCGTTGAACCGGCGACTCTTCGCCTCCTTTAACCGGGGAACAGATCCGATTTCGCTCCAGTTCCAGTGTATCGCGAGAAATTGAATCTATCGGGAGGGAAAATGCTGGGAAACGCGATAATACCAGGCCGAAGAATATCCCGAATATCCCGAGTATTTCGCCGCCGCTGGAAGAACGATATCTTTTCGCGCCTCCGTGATTCACGCGCGACGTCTCGCGACACGAACGTGTCGTAGAAATGTCCCGGAATCTTTTTCCAATATTTGAATTGTGCGTAGGGATCGACGGCCTTTGAATAGGTGGCGGCAGCATAACGTAGAAATGTAATATCTTCCATATTGATTGCTTATTTATCAGCTAAAAATCTCCACTTCACTTTTATTGAAAATTTAATACTCAATTTCGTAATTAAATAACACATTTCAATATTTAGTTTGTACTCGATTCAATTCCACCGAGGGCTTACGTGCTTAAATTAAAGTCCCTTCCGTCCCTCGCGTTTTTGGAACTGGCGCGAACGGCTTCAACGGCCCTCAAGAGCCCTCCAGCGCGCCCTCCGTTCACGATCAGTGCGTGCGAAGTCAGGTTCCAGTAGACTTAACGCTAACATTAGACACATAAAGACACGCGCTAATGTATATAAGACAAACACAAACACATCTCACGCATCCCCCACATATTCATACACACGTACACGCACCCTGACCCATCTTAGTTTAGCCGTCAGTGTTGTCTTGCAAACAGTTCAAATGACCACTGGCCAGGCCACCGCCAGCAGCACGACGACGACGAGCAGTAACAACGCGCTGGCCGACTCGCCAGGTCACGAGTTCGTGTCCGATACCATGAGGGTCTCGGACACAGACCTCGAGGAGGTCCGAGAAGGGATGAAAAAGCTGGGGATGCAGCCGCCGAAAGGTCAGTCGCGTTAATCGTTGGTCGTCGCTAACTCTCCGAGATCCCTCGCGCTCGTTATTGGAACGTGCCGATCTTGCCGCGCGATCCCTGCTAATTCCTCCTCGCCGCGATAATCCCCGTCGGGGAGATATCGCGGCGATTGTAAGAAGCGAGGAGCGATTCTGGAAACAGAGAATTCCGCGAAAGCGGTTTTTGGCACGCGCGAGATTTTCCTCGAACAGCTCTAAAATTATGCGATGAGTTCGCGAAGTTCGAATTGTAGAACAACGTAATTTTTGAAAGCTTTAGATCCCCCCTCCACCCCCCTTTTCCCATTCCCCGGTCTTCGTTAGTTGCGACCACCAACGAGATCTCGTATAATTATGTAATGAGGGCGCCGTTCTTTATTTGCTGGCGATTAACGAATAGTACGGAGCGATTTAATTTGCACGGCAAAAAAGAATTGCATTTTTTTCTCCGTCTCCTGTTATAAAATATCACGAATTTCGGATAAATTGTCGTGGAATAAAAATTGGACGGAGGGATTCTCTGATTGAACTTCATTTAGTAGACAAACGAAACTCGGGGCGCTTATCCGGGGCGCTCGTTACGCGAATTCCACGCGTGTATAGTTTCGAAGTTCCGTCGTAATCTCGTCGATGGCGTAAATTCGTCATCGGCTGAGAAGCCGGCGGCATTTTCTCGAAAAACCTATTTCTCGTCGCGGGGGTGCGAGCGGTACCATTCATTGATCTCGCCAGCAAAACGGAAACGGGTCACCGAGCTGATCGATGCGAGAGCTCGATCTGTGCCACGACACGGTCCGAGAGAGTACTCCCTTCGTGAGTATGAAAATTAATGCCACCGTGAGAAGCCTGACCTTAATCTCTCAGTGTTACACCTTGACACCACGCTAGTTTTTCTCACCATATATAGCTCTCAGTGTATCCCCTTCGATCTTCCTGTCTGTGCTTTCTTTAGGGATTGCTTGTTCACCGAGTTCTGAATGTTGCGCAACGACGGCGCGCGTCCGAGCAGGTTGCCGCGTCGTTGTTGGCGTTTGAACGTCTGTTGCGTTGTGAACGTCTGTCTGTCTCTCTCTCTTTCTTTCTCTTTTTTATGGGCGCTCTGACTAAACGACCGCTTTTCATTCTATTTTGTCAACAGCCTAAAAGAAGAGGAGAGTGCCCCAAAAATGCCATTATCCAAAGCACACCCTCTCAGAGATATACATGCTTCCCGCTGTCCAAAACTGAGAATTTCAGTTCTTCTTGCGGTACCGAATCTCCTCTCGCCTCTCTCTTCTCTCTTTCTCTCTCCCTCCTCCCATGTGTCTCCTCCCCCTTTTCGTTTTTAACTCTTCGTTTCCGTCACGTTCGATCGCGTAGCCGCCCGCGGCACGAACGTTCCCACGAGGCGAACAGCGTGCTCCTCCTTCGCGGATGTTTGTTCCATTTCCGATCGCCGGCAGCCGACGCGATCCCGTGCCAGTCGCAAGGATCCAATCGATTAAGCGCAATGCAAGGTCCAAGTCGGCGAAATCAGCATGCTGAAACGTGGAACGCCCCCCTCGCATTTCTGTGAGTTAAATGTATGCGCATGATAAAAAAAAATATTTAAAAAAATAGAACCGGCTCAAGGAAGCCGGTTTTAAGAAAAAATATCGCAATTAGACGGTAGAGTTACTCGTCGTCGAGAAGATAAATTTAATAATTATAATTTTAATCGATAAATGTGATAGCGATAAATTTTTATGTGTGATATAATTTGTAAATGTCCTTTGACCGTTAAGTGATTTATATAAGGATCTCAAGTCTTATTTTCACGTGGAAGGGCCCTAAAATATCCTAAAAGCGGACACATTTTTATATTCCAATGAAGCGTATATTTTCTGACGAGCACTCGTACGAGGAGGCAGGTTATTATTGGCTCATCGAACAGCGCGATATTTCCATCGCGATACTTTCGGCTCGGATATCCACGTGTCACGGTCGCGTTGACGGTGCATCGAGGACGGTTAGCAGCTCTCGGCAGGCGGCGAGACAAGCTTGCAATCAGCACACAGTCGCTGCGACGAGTTGATGCGGCGTCTGAAGAGCAAGGTTAACAAACCGAGAGCGCGCGTGTGTATATATATAGTAGAGTACGGTATCGTGATTGTGCCGTGAATGTGTCGCCGTTATCACCGTCATCGATTGACGTGCTGATTGTCGTTAATCGCTGTTGAATCGGCAATAAGCTTGGAGTCGCGACAATTCACGTCGCGATAACGAGGAATTGAGAACAGACGTAGGTGATGAAACGAGGAATGGAAACGGGCAAATTACGAAAAAAAAAAAAAAAAAAAAAAAAAAACAAGAAGAATACTCCACGTGTATAAAATACTCGAGGTTTAATTCCGTGTGTGGTGGTGTTTTTGTTTTGAATATTCATGTCGTATAAATGTATTTGGCGTTTTGTCCAGTCCTCGTTAGGGATACGTCGAGCTCGTCGAATCCGCGGAAATCGAAGATGAAACACGCCGAATGAGAAAATAAAGGCAGGCGTGGAAAAAAAAAATGCGAAACGGTCGTCACGTTGAAACGTTACGCGCTCGTGCGCGAGTATAAAACATAAAATAGATGCAATAACAATAAAAAAAAAGGAGATTGTGCGAGAGAACGAGGAGTGAGAAAGAAAATAACGAATCTAAACAAACTGGAGCGAAGCAAAAGGAATGCTCGGCTACATGTCTGTATGTCTGACCGTTTTGCTGTTGTCTCTCTCTATCTCTCTTTCTCTCTCTGTATTAATTCCAATTAATCTAGCCTGTTCTCGATTCTCTCCGTGTCTTTATAAACGTGTAATTAAGAAGCAGAACAACAGAAACAACCGTACAACATCTTCACAATATGAACAAGCCGAGAAATAACGCAGTCAGTTGATGAGAAAGCAAGGAGTAAGTAAACGTTGCGCAAACTTAATCATAGGTGTACCTTCGTAAGAGATTAATTAAATGGAGACCTAAGAAGAAAAGAGAGATATATGTATAAATAAAATTACATATTATTATACTAAATAAAAAAAAAAAGAATATAAATACGGTGGCGCGCTATTAATCCGGGATTTTTCCTCGTAATCCACCTCGTAACGTTCACTTTGTACAAGTAATAAGATTCCTCACGAGAAGGCTGTCTTGCAGGGAAAAAGAAGCGCGACAAAGAGTTATGAAAAATCCCTCACAAATTGTACGAGACGATTTTACGAGCGCGGCTTATCGGCGAAAGGCGATCGGATTTTTATCGCGCCGCTGTAAACTCGTTGAATGACAATACGTGTTTTACCGGGAGGCGAGCTGTAATTCCGCTCGCGCCCGGCACTCTCGTGGGTGGTGTGTAGCTGTTGTAGCGATTTCCTTCCGATAGCGAGGCGGCTGGCCGGGGTGCGATCCGTTTACACGCCCGTCCACCGGGGGGAAAGGCGGAAAGGGACAGATTAATTATGCGCGACGAGTTTTTTGCGCGAATACCACGACCAGGCGGCTGGAGAACGCCTGGCGGGCGCGAATTTCCACGCTTCTGTCGCGTGAGGATTCTACACTGCATTTTACCGACGGGGCCGCCCCGTTGGGAGAGAAACGGACGTAACTTCCGGTGAGAGTGCAACTCGCAGCGACACGACGCCGCGCGTCCCGTGAATTATAAAAATAGCGTTTTGTTTTTAGGAGTATCAGGGGATTGTTTCAATGTTTAACAGTATTACCGTGGTTGATGGGTGGCTCGGAAGATCGTTGATCCGGCGGTAACGTTTGCGTTTGAATTTTACATAGGCGCAATTTTTTTTATCGTAGCATTCGTATCGCAGCGAGGTCAACTTAATTTACGCTTTAGTTAAGAAACGACTGATTAGTTATTTTACATATTTCTCCTACGTTCGTTTAATTCACGATTCTCCATGCCGCGTCCGCGACTTTTTCATCTTTATATTTGTATCGGAGTGGAAAGGAAGATAAAAATAAAAGACTCGTGGACGCAACATGGACTGTCGTGAAGTAAGTGATACGCGGGACTAGTATTTTTCCGCATTTTTACGGAACCTTTATTCTATTTTACTTTTTTTTTAATTTACTACAACGGCTTTATCGAGAGAACGTAGATTCTCACAAGCGAGCGCGTTAAATATTAGATTTTCTTCGGTTTTTTTCGGTCCGGAGTTGAGGTCGATAAAACGGTGAACAACTGAATTATGGCTTTCGGTTTCCCGTTGCACAATTTTTCCCGGTGCACGGACTTCGGTTTACCGCGTCGAGGATATCGAAATATCGCTTTCTCGGCTCGACGCAGGGCGCATGTAAAGACGAATCGATGGACGGACAGCGTACGCAAGCGTTTTTGCGAAGCACTTTCAGTATTTCGCCCCTCGTGTCACTCTGTAAAAAAAAAAGCGACGTTTCAGGAGATAAGCGTCGCTCTTTTTTAAAAACACCGTCGCGTTTGAGTACATTTAAGCTACATCTTAAGGTAATCCGCGAGCTCGTTTTAGTTGTTGGAGCTTAATATGAGGACAAGACGTCTAGAAGCGCATAAGAGGGTATCGTTTAAGAATTAGCGTTCTTAGAGGCCGCGTTTATTGACGCCTACTACTACTGTTAGCTTATTCCCGCACGTTTAAATATACGATAACGTTAGATAATTTCGCGCTTAAACGACGAATCATTTGGCACAGTGGTGTCCAAATTCTCCGAACCAGCGCAGCGCAGTTGTAGTGAAAAATCGATGTTATTAAGAACATGTACATAAAATTCAATCTATCTCTCTTCTACCTTTGATTTCGTTCGCAGGAATTTCTTTTAAATAACGGTTTATCTTTTGATTCGATATTCACGACACACACATGTACATACGGTATTGATTTCGCCGTTATACGGTTTGCTTCTCGCATTACTTTGGGCACCACTGGTTTAGCGCAATGAGGATTCATTCTCACGACAACGCCGCTCCGATAATTACACTCCGAAGCGTTTAAGTCGCGATATCCCGATTAATTACTTTTATAATTGTGAGTCAGTCACTTTTGTAACGAGTACATTAAGCGAATTGTAATTAACTAGCTAACCCCCATCCCGGCGATTCGCTGTAATTTCCAGAGAGCTGTGTAGTCGGCGATCGTGTAATAAGTATACGTCGCTATCGTCGTCGTTGTCGTCGTTCGCGAGAAATAAGTACGAAATGGATATGGAAAAAAAAAAGAGAGCGCGTACGATCGCGATCGCACGTCGTCCTCGATAATCGCGCGACATCTTTTTTCTCTCTCAGACCACTAACATATCCCCTTTGTCTTTACACGTGTCTAACGAACCGAAATTCAAGCCCTCGAAAGCGGAGAGGACGTCGACAACCCCCTCTCGCTTCCGTTTCGCGTTCTCTTTTTGTACCTCTCTATCTCTTTGATTTCTCCGACTCCCGCAATTTGAGTTTTGTCCTTGAGTCCTAAATACTCCTCTTATACATACACACGCTCTAACACACACACACACACACTTTGTACGTGAATGCGCGTCATTCCCGGTGCACTGAGAAACTCGTATTCAGCGCGGAAACGCAAACACCGACACAAACAGACATACAGACAGACAAACAAGACCCAGAGTGTGGCCCTCTCTGCAAAATAGCTACAACGCTGCTTGTGCCTCTCCGCAGAAGAAGATTGGGAACGTGAATTGGAGGCCGAGCTAAAGGATTACGAGGTTGTAACGGGCGGCAACGGCGGCGGCGTCGGCGGTGGTCAGGAGAGAAGCGCGGTCACGAAAGACGGCACGGCCAGCGATAACGATTGGGAGAAGCATATCGACGAACTGCTCGCCAACGAGGACGACGAGGACCTCAAGTGAGCCGAGGAGATCCTCTTCGTGACCGGCTAAAGGGATCTCGTCGCTTCACGTTGAGATCGCGCGCGCGCGCACGGCGAGATCGGCGAGCAGCAGCGGTTTTCGCATGAGAAACTTTCTCTCTGATAAAGAGAAGCTCGCGAATTTCTTTTGTACATGCTATCATTCTCTCTCTCTCTCTCTCTCTCGTCGATCTCCTCGACCGTGCGGAAAAGCGGAAGGATGAAGCGATGCTCGATTAGAATCGGATCGTTGCCTAATTACCTTTTTCCACGGGAGATCTAGTCGGCGATGAGCTAATTTTTTATATTGCCACGATACTCGCTAATTATTTTTATATGATACAAAATTCTATTTTTAAGGGAAATATTTTTATTCGTTTATTTATCAGTATTTAATATTTAGAAAAAATTGATGTCACGCACGCAAGCCTCGTGAAAGCGATGAATTTTATTCATGTCTCTTGCAAGAAGAATCCGCATTATTGAAGAACAAGCAGTAATCTCTGGATCAGCGTATTCACGCGAATATTTACGAGCCCCGATGGGATTCTTTTCGCGTTCAAACCGTCGTATCCTTTATGTCGAGAACTTGTAAAGTTTCGTTTTGTTACCTTTCATTCCCGTCTCGCGATTGTTTGTATGAGCTTTCGTAAAATAGAATACGCGAAGCAGCCCCTTGGAGAACCGCATCAAAAGGATCCGGCTTCTTACTTTGATCCATCGCCGATCTCCTGTGGGGAAAGAAGCGCGAATAAAGACGCGAGGGTTCTTTGAGGATCGGCTCGTCCTCGAGGAGCGTATCGTAACAAAACGCGTGGGAGTCAGCCGTCGGAATACGAGCCGGAAACTGTACGAAATATTTTCCGACACGCGGGAGATCGTCAGTGCGAACGACAGAAAAATCAGGGATCGCGGGATTGTATAAAGAGCAAACGCGGAAGGTAAAAGACGGTCTCTTCGTTTTATTTTTTTTTTTTTCCCTCTGAATTTCTCCGCAACAACGCGTTCTTTACGATCCTCGAGCACGATGAACACCGCCGTTTCGAAGCTTGGAAGCGGAAGAAACGGATTGTCGTATATTCATACGTTTATATCCTCGTCACATATTCGTATGATCGTAAGATATTCACGCTTCCGCTTCCGGATGCAGAACGGCGTCGACTGTTCTAGTTTTCAGAAACAAATCCCGCGGGATACACGCATTCATCAACACCACACTTGTGTCAATTATTGGACGATCTTGTCCGAGAACATAGTGCTGATTGTAACAATAAACATCTTCAAAATTGTGTGATATTAAACTAATTAATTTCGGAATATCGGACGCGCGATCGATGAAGAATGTGCGAGGAGACGCTGCGCACGATCGACCCGCTCTTCATCGTGATCGAAGGATCGGCGGTTCTTCAAGAAAAATTACACTGCCGTGTGCCGAAGGACACCGTTTCGAGCGTGGATCGACGATCGGCGGCGGTCAGCGGCGCGTTTTCTATGAACTTGAAAAAAAATTAGCAAATTATTTTCAAATAATTATTGAACATCGCGATTTTTAGATTTATTACGCGGCTCACGAATGGAGTGATTTAAATGCGCCTCTGATCGCCGCTCCCTTTTTTCACGTTGCAAGCAGACCGCTTTACCGCAGCGACGCTTCTGGTTCTTAATTGTCAACAACCATTGTCGATTATTACGAACCGCAGTGATGTACAGAAGAATGCCAAAGATAACGCGAGAATCGGTTCGGCTCGACGGATAATATTTTCGATTTGCGCACTCGTCGTGACTTCGCACGAATATATTCTACTGTTAAGAAGGCGGGAAGGCGCTAGGCTTAATGATAACATTGTTTAGCGCATAACGGCGAATCTGTAGATAATGATGCGAGGAATGTATCGTCGGCGACGACGGCTGCGATGATGATGAGGATGTTGAGAGGAAGAATGTGTCGTTTTTAAGTTTGTTAACTCGTCGAACGGGGAGTGTTCCGTCATTCGTTGTTTGTATTGTGTCAAAGTGAATTACGCTGTAAGGATGACATGTTTCGCGTTGTCTGTACGGACGAAATATCGTAATAATAAATCATTGCGTTGCATAAAGGAAAAAAAAAAACCAGTTACGCATACACAATATATTATATCATTTGTAACTGTAAGATATATAAGTTGTCGGAAATAAAAGCCCCAGATTAATCACGCATCTCGGAGTCGCGCGGCGCAAGATTTTGTTGGTGCGATCATTCTCTGTGCGACATACCGTCCAATCGTCCTCTGCCACGAAAGAAACCGGAAGGAAACTAACTGACCCGCAGATGGAGAGAACTTTTTGCGACAGTAAAATATCGCGCTGCGCGAAGCTACTATTATTATCTAACGAGTAATATCGATGATAGCGAATATAAATTATTAAAAAGAAAAAAAAGGAATAAAACATCTCCGGATATCTTTTCCGTGCAGACAAACAGATCTGATATCTAACTTAAAACGCAAGAAGAATCGTATGCAAACGCAGCATCGAATAACGTAGCAAAGGTGAGATGAAGTACATCGAGTTCACGATTTTAATCGTATGCACGAATGTGATAGGACGAAGGATGTGAAGCACGCACGGAAAGGTGAACAAACATCGGGTCGGAATGAAGGGAATGAAGGGTACCGGATTTATAGTGGAGCTCGGAGGAAAATATAAACCGCGAGTTTAATTACTATTCTTGTAGCTCTAATTGCTTACAATAATTTTCAATAAACTAATTTTCTATTTTTCAACACACATTTAGTGTTAAGCGCAGATGTCCGACTAATGATTTTATTAAATCCGATAGTTACGTTTATCGCTAAATGTGTGCTGAAATATTTGTTTTGCGATCGCAAGAAATGCTCGAGCGGTAAGAATAGTGATTGATAAGCCTTGACACCGGAGACTCCTATTTTGTGAATTCGTCAAGGATAATTGATCTCGTCTGCCACCATAAATCCCGCCCAGAGAGAAGTAAAGCTGTCGAGCAGAAAACAAATCATTGCGTTTCCCGTCGAGACGTTTGCGTGCGCCGCTATGCTGAGTCCGGATTTTCGGTCAATTTATACACCACGATTTTTTCTACCCCTCTTTTCGAGTAGCCACCCCGGAGTTAAAAAAAAAAAAAAAAAAAGAGGAGCAGCTATGCGACGAGACCGTTTCCACCTAATCGCTCGCAGCGAGCAATTGTGTAATATTGACATACTTCTTTCACAAACAAGAAAAGAATACGCTCGCGTCCGGCTGTCATCAGCGGAGACTATGAAAAAACGCTGCTTCATCCGCGTTCATCTTTCCCCCAAAACAAGCTCGTTGTAAAGTTTCCATTCGCGTTAGTCGATAGGCAAAGTCTTGTAAGATTTACTTAAGGAGGCGCAATTCACCCAGGCCTAAAAGTCTGTCGAAGTAATGCAAAGGCGATAATCGCATTTATCCGCTTTTCATTGTAAAGCGCGGCTCGAGCCGAGACCCCCGTCACTCCTTTCGAATCCTTCGACTGTATAAATACTAATCGCGAGAAAAATTGCCCTTCTCTCTCTCCCTCTCTGTCTGGCCGAAGTAAAAAGAAGAGAAAAAGAAAAAAATAAATAAAGAGAAACACGCTAAGTTTCCGTGCGCAAAAAAAACGTCGTCCTATTTTCCGCGAAAGCGACAGATGATAAACGCGATGGCCAGAAATCGAGGTGTACTTCGGCAGAATAACAAAGTGAACTCTGTGAATTAACTGTGTAATAAAGCTATCCTACGGTACTGTGCATTCACACTCATAAAGAAAAGAAAATGAACATACACCCGATATCTACATATACATATATATGTATACACGTATACATATGAATAAATATATATATATGTTGTTGACTCCATTGAAAGTATGATAATATATTATGAATATTATAATGAGAATATAATGACGCAAGCATTAAGACAAAACTATTGAAGAAATTATTAATGTAATTGGGAGAATGTAACAATAAAAGTCGTAAGAAATATAAAATGAAATAAAATATTACCTCTTATTAAGGTATTGTTTTTTCTCCTCCATTTATATCGCTCTCATTTCTATTCAGAATACTATATTCTGAATGCAATACGTACAGTTTTAATAATATATTCTGTAAATAAAATTATTTAATAGACACAATATTTTATAAAAAATAATTAATTAAATATATTACCTTTTTTTATTTGAAACTTGTCAAGTCTTACGTATACAAATTTGATGCAAAACCATTATTTGTTGAACGTTTCCATTATAACATTAAATATTTTATAATTTATCTCTTTTTAATAAAAATGTAATAAAAAAATAAACACTTTTTTGTTTTTTTTTTTAGTATATGTTGCATATTGTATGTATTATAAATATACATATTGTAAATTTCAATGGAAATATGAATAAACATAATGATTTAATATTAAAATAAATTTTATTACATAATTTTTATTACATTATTTGTACCAATATTTACAGATCTCAAAATTGTATGTACACCATTTAACATTCCAAACTCTCACTCTCCACTTGATTGAAATTCATGCTCATGAGATTACTCTTATTGTTATTGTTTGCTGCCCCAAACGCAGAGTATTTTTCAGTATTCAAAAGTAATAAAAAAAATTACTATACGTATAAAACTTTTAATCGGAATGGCTTAATTAAGTAGAGAAAGGAAGCTATTGATAGAATTATAAAGGAGTTATAGTCAGTCAAACGCAACAGGATATGTAAGATCACGTAGATTTACGAAATATTGTTCCAAGATACAAAGCGTTGTTGTGTTTAAGTGATACTCTTAAATATCCAGAATGTCTGCGCAATTAATTCTATTACGTATACAAGAGATTTTAATACATCAATCCAAATATTTTAAATTGCGGATTGAAATACGTATGTAACAGCATCCTCTTTTTAGCACAATATAATTCATCATATAAATCTTCAAACTATATCATTCGTATATAAACTTACCACCTTTCTTGTTCATTTGCGTTGTAATAAATAGGAAGGGGCTTGGGGCTTTTGAATTAACTTATGTGTTACGTCGCTGAATTGACTTAAATATAATCCTTAGCTTAAAACTAAATATAAATGTTAGCGAGTTTTGATATTAATCATATAATCGTACTGTCAAGATTCGCGTCTTAAAATAACTTTCAAATCGTCCGGCAATTCATGCGTAATATCGTTTATTCTCTCCCGTAATCTCTCCCTTATTGAGTTATCGATTGGTAAGTCATCGATGCAGCTTTTCTCCAGCTTTTGGCGAATCCTAAGTATCATATCGACCACTTCTACCTCTTGCTTTCCCTGCACCCACGTTTTCAAATCCTGTGCCCGTGATTATTGCATAAATTATTAACAGCAATATTTAAAATGTATATAAACAATGTATTCTGATACATACGGCCTGCGATAATTTTTCCAACTGTTTAACTTGCAACTGCTGACTCAGCTCCATGTATCTCGTGTGGAACCATCCTGAGAAATTAGGCGACCTGAAGAATCGCTTGTACAATCCCACCCAATCTCCTTTTGTACCTGTAGTTAATTGGGGACCGGCACTACTTAAACTAGCTAGGAAGTCATCTGGATTGAACATTTGTGGTGTAGGAGTTGCCTGGAAGAAATCGCCTTGTGATACTATTTAATTCTACAATTAATAATTCTATGATTATTAATCATGAATAATTGATTTACCTTGAAGGGTGATATGTTCTTTTGTAGTGGCATAAGAGTTGCGATGTATCTCTCGAGCGGGATCATGAAGCTTTCTGTTAACTCTATTAGATGACGTTTCAAGAGCGCAGTCTGCACTTCGCCCGGCCGTTTTGTCTGAATGCCTCTGAACAATTTCTTCAAGATGGTTTTATCTTTTTGCAGGAAAGGCTTGTACTGTGTGTAAACGCCAGGTTTGGAGTCCAGCACCTTGAGATTCTCAGACTTCTTGATTTTGTATTTCTGGTCTTCTAAAACACACAAATTCTGAACACGTCACTTGCGAATGGCAAGCGAAAGCGTCATCGAACTTACCGCTGTTGCTGCCGTTACTTATTCTGATGATATGCGGCCAGTGTTGCAGGGTTTTGGCAAAGAAAGGATTCGTCACACCTAGATTACAGCGGGCGGCGCTGGAGAGTCCGCGGTGTACTCTTTGAATTCCGAATCGTGGATAGTGAAGTACGGGCGATGATCGGAACAGTACTTCAACGGCGCAATCATTCTGCAAAATGTTTCTTTTCATTATATATCCAGCTTTATTTTCATCATAAATGTTACTTACGCTATAAGCGCTTGGACCATCTCGGAACAAGTAGTCGGCGAGCCAGCCATCACAACAATTGGCTCGCTAAGAAGAACCAGCTCCCACAATAAATGTACATAACTAACAACACTCGCTAAACTTCGGAACATGTCGCCCTCATGGGCTGACGTCAACATCAGTCTTCGCGTTGTGTGCACGTTTGGTGCATGTTCCATGGCAGCAATCGATGGAATAATGGCTTTGTAATTTTGATTTGGGATATATGTCTGAAACAGTTACATATTTTAATGTACACAAGCGAGAATATTTTTTACTTAAATATTACAGCCTTAAATTAAGCAAGCTTTTACCTGAAACAGTACACCGATAAGAGGTAAGTGAACTATCTGGCCTGGAATGGGAGCAGGCCACTGATCAATCTCACGCACCACAGCTTCCATAAGCGCCGTTCCGGTCTCGAAGAATTCCGGCGCGATTAAAGCACATAATTCGCAGAACAAATTAACAAATGGCAGTTTCGTAATAATTACAACACTCTGGAAATAGTTATATTAATTATTATTAATAATTATAAATTAATTAAATCAGTTACTTAATGATTTACGATGATATAAGACAAACCTTTTGAAAATATCCTCTTGGCAAAGACTTATCCTTCACCTGTCGAAAATATACGTATCCCCAGTAATAATCTCTATCAGTTTGTAGAAAAGAAGGTGATTTCCTATCGTACTCCTTCAGAGCACTAGTTTGCTGCACCATTATACCACTCTGTCTTATCCGTACGTGATACTGCGTATCTCCCATACATCCAGAATTGGAATCAGGAAAGGCTAAGTAACAGACATTGGATCTCTCTTGCTCAGATAACTTAACGTGATTAGGATAAATCGCCTGTCACATAAAAAGAAATGTTTATAACATTTGTAAAATGAGATTAGCATAAAATTGTGTTCTATAATTGAAATAATAATTATTAATATAATTGTACCTCAATAGCTTGGCCCAGTTCAAGATCAAAAGTAACAATGCATATACAATGCACCCAATTGCTGAAACGTTCCCATTTTGCATATGTCACCTCTTCCACAGCATATGCATTATCCGGCTCTTTACTCGTTGAGCAACAAGGTACTGACATTGTTTTCTATTTATTCTAATAATTCAGTCACTAGAATGTATATTAGCACATGTGTCATTTGTCATTGCATAACATGATTCTTCTCAACCGTATGACACTTGCACTAGCAATTGACTAACAATTATGTCATGTTACATTGAGCTATGTAAAGATTCTTTATGATCTGAAATATAAATTAGCTTAACATCGTAAACATGAATTCTGAACGAATCTGCAAACAAGAGTACTCACCACTATATATACATTGCAATTTATGCAATATATTTACGTATTAACTATAAATCTCTTCCACGAAGTTCTCCATGCTAATTTTGAGCATTCTACGGCTATCACTAGTTTTAAGATTTTGTACCCTGTTCAACAATATTTGACATTCATGGAATTTATACGTCCTGTGAGCGGAGAATTGAGCCCTTTGCTTGTGACACTGAATCAAAGCTGTTCGGGAGTAGCCACGCGTAACACCGTGCGACGTGTGTGTTTACTCATTTCAGTGTGCTTGGCTATGTACACACAATTGTTAAAACCTCCACATGTTCCCCGTCATTAGATAACAATCTGCCAAACAATACGCCAGGCGTGCTCGCGGTATAATTGACGCAGCGATGCGGGTATGCGAGCGAGCTATACTCTTATCGTCGATCAAGCTGTCGAAGCGGAACAACTGCGTATGTTGACATTCGCGTACACATGCAATGCTCACCGTCGTTTCATTGAAAAAAGTCTTCATAATGTTTAGATACGAACGACTAGATGCTCATAACCTCTATATACCTATTCAAGATGCTCGAAGAATCGCTCTCCTGCTCGCTTCACGTTCGTTCGATGACATCGGATTAATTCGTTTCGTTGAAAGTCACTCGATTCCTTTAGCAAATAAATTAATTAATTTATCTAGGCGTCCGAAATATTTCACAGTATGTTTCCTATGTTTCTAACATCCGTCACGGTGACAGGAAGTGAAGAGAAAGCGGACACAGCGGTGAGAGGCGATAACCTCCCGTCGATCAGATGTTCTCAATAGTGCGCTGATCATTTCAGCAGAGAGCGTACCGTGCCGCTTCGGATTCGCAAATTCAATAACCTCTCGTCGAAACATACTCCTAGTCCTCCTCATTGTAGAGGTGTGCGTGCACCCCCCATTCTTCATCCCCTGGACAGTTCGCTGCGTACAACATATGATATATGACGTATGACATATAATTATGGCAGATGACGATACAATTCCGAACAGCCGATGACGCGCGCCGCGCGCATTCCGATCTCGCCGCTGTCACATTCCGCGATTCGGTCGAGCCCGGTCCGCCCGGCGACGGTCAGTGCGCGTTCCGCCCGTCCCACGAGCTAACACTGCACCCGACCGCGAGGACCTGAACCTCAGGGGTACGTTCTTCTCGCGCTAAACATGAGCCGCGGTGCCGCGCACGCTGGTCGCGTACTAGCTGCCGACGACAACACGGGTGTGTCCGCCGACGCGGCCGTACTGCGATACGGTGCGATCAAGTGTGTCAGTCGCCTCGCCGAGGGGCAAGTGTGTCGGCGTTCCTGTGGCCGTTAGGCCGTACACGCACGCACATAGATCGGTACGATGTCGGTGGCGGCCGATGCCTCCCAGGACAGGATCGTCGCCTGCAACGGCAAGGACGACGTGCCGGTGATAACGCAGCCTACCACTAGGCGTGGACTCAGGATCTACAAGATCGTCGTGCTGGGTGACGGCGGCGTTGGCAAGTCAGGTATTGGTTGTCTGATCAATTGTATTGAAATATGTATTGAATAAATGTCTAACTCACATTAGATCATCATCATGTAACGAAGCTTGCTTTTCAGCTGTTACTTTGCAGTTTGTTAGTCACACGTTCCTGGACTATCACGACCCCACTATAGGTAAGTTGTGCTTTCACATGTAAGAGAAGAGAAGGTTCGTCAACCTTCGGTACAATTTTAGGAGGAGAAAGCAAAGTCAGTAAATAAATAAAAAGCATTAAAACAGTAGAATCGACAAATGTAAGAATGGAAAAGTAAATGACAGATTTGAAATTAGCAGTTTGAAAAACTTTTCATGTCTCCGCTTGAGAATGAAAGAAATATAAGAAATGATTTTCCTGTTCTTTTCTCTAACAATTTCTCTTTTGTGCACACAGAGGACTCGTACCAGAAGCAAGCAGTCATCGATGGGGAGGCAGCTCTTTTGGATATTTTAGACACAGCTGGACAGGTTCGAGATTCTTATGTATGTTACGACGCTCAAAACAACATTATGCAATGTGCATCAACATGTCTCTGTACAAGGATGTTTAATTGCGCGCAATTTCGAACAATTCTCTTGTGTTGTGTATAGGTGGAGTTCACGGCGATGCGTGAGCAGTACATGAGATGCGGCGAAGGTTTCATGATATGTTACTCCGTAACGGACAGGCATAGCTTCCAGGAGACAATGGAGTATAGAAAACTGATATCGCGTGTGCGCGCGAACGAAAACATTCCTCTGGTGCTAGTCGGGAATAAGTTTGATCTACAACATCAGCGAAAGGTATATCAGATGCTGTCGAGTTGACCGCCGCATAGTGAAAAGTCATGAATACATGTATCTGTATAGCGGCAGGAACAATGAGATATTGATTTCTCGCATACACTGAACTCGGAGCCTATTTCAGGTGACGACGGAGGAAGGCAAGGCACTAGCGGAGGAGCTCGGCTGTCCGTTTTACGAGACATCGGCTGCTCTGAGGCAATTCATCGACGACGCGTTCTTCTCGCTGGTCAGGCAGATACGCGCCAAGGAGAGACCCCGAAGAGATCCCTTGCATCGCAAACGCAGCCGTTGGTGGCGAATTCGCTCGATATTTGCGTTTATCTTCCGACGGAAACCCAGACGCGCTCTCAATCATTCGCCTTAGAAGTGGTTTCTATAGCGAGCCTTTCATTAGAGAGATCGATAGACGATAGCAATGACGAGAGTAATATCATAGCAAATCACAACGAAGTACGTATTACCGATGTATTTTTATATAGTTCACGTCTCCCTTTAGAGACTGATGATGATTCGTTAACATCTCACTGCCTTATCATTGACCCCAGTGTGTGTACCCTGCAATGCAAAATTGTCAGTCAGAATACACATGGAATACACATTTGTATTCTCATCTTAGATCTGAAGTCAGATTAATCGATCACTCATGCTGCTCAATACAGAGAAACATAGAACATGGATACGCAATAGATTCACACGCTATAGAGATACAGTATATATATTTATGACTTCCAGTTTTATAAGACGACAGTTTCTTCCGCAATATCATCTCAAAGGCTGTTAACATTCATTAAAGTTAGGTCTCACGAAAATCACGCGATAAACGCGGATAAACGGAGCCTAAACGGAGCAAACGCATCCATCTAACTACGGATAAGTAGATATTCCAACTATCTCCAGTGAATCACTTCTCTGATAGTCGTAGGCGATATTTAGACTCTAGTTCGCTATTAATAGCCGATTACGTGACCAAAGAAAAGTATATGAAGCGTTAATTTGAAGCAGGAATTGAGAGATCTCCTTGGCAATACAGAGAAGGACGGAAATGCAAGATATTACATAAGAGCTTTATAACACAAATTGTTGCGATTTTAATTATCGATAAAGGGATATATATATATTGATTTTTATTTATTCTCTAATTTAATTCAGTGTAAATAACAAGAGATATTAAATGTTAAATAATTTTATATTCAATTTAGAATTTTGTAACGATGCTACAAATTATGCATGAGAGCTATATAAAAGTTGTAATGAGTTGCAAAGTTTAGAATTGTTACGTATTATGTGAATCACATGATCTCTAAGATATCTCGATCACAATTCTCGATGAAAGCATAAATTCAATATGTTTGCCTTGGACAGTCGTGACACGAATAATGAAACTGGCAATAAAAGCAAATATTACATTATTTTTGTACATTACAACCACAGAAGCTCAGAAAAAAATATCATATAGGCTTTAAAATATAATTAGAGCTTGTGGTACAAATATTATATTCCAGTCCAAAACATTTGAATGCAGTTTTTTTAAACTCTAATCATAAACGCAGCTCTTCGAATATTAAATTACGTTTACATAGTTTTAATATATAGACCAGTCACTAATTTTATTTTTTAATTTAATATTTAATCGTGAGTTGATGAAATGAGGTATTTGTAATATTTGTATTAATATAAAAGAAAAAAGCGCACTAATATATATATAAATACAAGAAAAAGCAAAAATATCATTTAGGCATAATTTTGCATAATAATTATCTAGTCGTTACTTAATTTTTCCTAGTCACATTTTGCATTTTGTTGTAACATATTAACTTATATTAATCATACATGTAAAAAAACGTTGACCAGTACACACTTTCGCATAATAATTCTCGAATAATTTGTTGAATACATTGCAATATATGTTTGAAAAATATCTGCGAATATATATAAATATATGTATATATATATATAATATATGACATGTGTCACATATTATGTATTCTTATACATATATATAACATATAATGTTATTTAATGTTACTAATTCATTTAATTTATATTATATAATATTTATTTAATATTATATTTATATAACATTTTTAATGCAGATATTATTAACAATGCTGATAATTTATTTTGTAGTAATAGAATTAAGTGTAGCTATCTGTAGCAGCAAATACGAGGTATTAGTGGCAGCATTGACAATTGATCTTGCAATATATAATAAATATAGGATGATTGTATGCATTAAAATAACTATACATGTAATAATTGCATGTTTAGAAAAATTTATGTAATATTCGTCGAAACAAAATATTCATATTTTCATATCAGTAACAGAATACCATAATTATTATTAATTAAAGTGACATTACACAAAAACTGCAAATAGCTACTAGAGAGATAAAATCATCATGTCCATATAAAAAGAAGATAGTGACACTTCATAGACGGAATATAAGTAACATTATCATTTTATATATCGCGACATTTATCAGCTTAGCTACTAGATAGATTAAGCAAATATGACACACATATTATGGATCTCGTACATAGTAATGAAAAATATTGTGAGCATAATGGAAAATGTAGCGGCAAGCATGTAGAGAACAATAACTTATAATTTACGAGGACAATATGATAATCAACGATCATTTTCATATTACACTTTTTTATTTGACGTACGTATACATTTGCTATGAAATTCCGAAAATCGTAAAAACGTTTTAATACAATGTACAGAATACTGGGAAAAAGAACCACGAGCTGACATGTGTAATTTTTAACTTGAGATTTTGCGAAATGCCCAGAAATTTTATGTAAGCTAAATATATTTTGGATATATTTTGATCTAATGCAAAATCTAATGTACTTCGCACATTATATGGATATATGTGTAAAATAATTTTATAAGAAAATATAATCTTAACTATAAAAAAAAAAATACTTGAACGAAATGACGCTTTAAAAATGTACAATTAGTACAACATCATACCCGAATAATTTTCATTATTACAAATTCGTTACGAACTTGAAATGTTACTTACCTTCATTATAACAGGAAATGCGAAAGTACTTTTTTTTATATCAAAATTTATCATCGATCATCTACCTTGTAACGCTATAATAAAACTAGCAAAGAAAAATAGACAATGGGGTGTTTATTTAATTACACGCTCTGCCTGACTTTACATTTTTATATAAAACATTCATAAGTTGTTACATAGCGTTTCTCATTTTCTAAAATGCCGCATAAAACATGTCTTATTAAAGAATCACTGCAGATCTCTGAAAATTGCGAATGCAATAATTATTTAAATTCTATCTCATCTTTAAACAATCATAGCAATCGATCTACTTGCGTTAAAAAGAATCATAAATGCACGTGTACAAAAAAATGAACTTATCTTGGCACATTATTTTATATAGTTTTGTCTTCAATGGAAAAATCTATTTAAAAAATGCATACTTTTAAGACAATAATATATATATAAAAATTTTTTATATTATCACAAATAATTAAATGTGTGATATGATAAATCTAATATATATGATATAATGCTTTGTCCTTTTTTAGAGCCAAAAACCATCACATCTCTGTGATGGTT